GGGGGTTGACAAAATGTTGGAAGCACAAGTTCTAGAGAATTTCAGAGTATTTCTTCCAATTTGAAAACCGCAAACAAGTTATAATTTTCACTCTTACTACCCAAAAGTGGATAGTAATCAAGAAAACAATATCTCACCTCCAAGGTGGAAAATGATTCTTTAATAATTGATGCCTCATCCGGAAGAGTGCACATGAAAAGCAACGTTTCTAGCCTCTTGAATGAAAATGGAACCTCAACCAATGCTTTCAGGAACCGCTCTGCCTGCCCAAGCCGAGAAAGATCCCCGCTATAGAGCCTTAGCTTCAGTTCTTCCTCCGCTGTTGGTGCCATCTTAAGCAAAGTTTGTATGAGTTCAGAAGGAAGCTCATTTCCTGAGTAAATTTAAACCACTAGTCACGCTTAGGTAGCTACAAACTCTTAACAACAAACGACATTCCACTTTTAAGAAATATCACCCTAATTAACATACAAGCACATCAATGCTTTACCAATTGACAGCAAATAGCAACCGTATGTTGACAGTATAATCATTGTGATTGTGCTACCCTAAGCGAAACTGCTACTTCTTATTTTTATTCTGACATTAGGTTTAGAATATGTAACCATTTCAAGGTAAGGCTCTCGGCAAAGCCTCAAAAGTGAATGTGATTTTGCAGATAAAATGCTAATTGCAGTAGTAAAGCTGCTCTGAAAGTACATGTACATGCAGAAAAGGTTAAAGGGTGCCGCATGGACAATTATTCACATGAACAAAAACCAGTCATCTAACTAGACAAAATGCAGAAAGGCTAGATATCTTTTCCTTGAATACATTTCATGATTTTACTCTGGAAGGGAGTTTCCAGAAGTACTAGATTCCGTAGACTAAAGGGGAAAAGGCAATGTCACACACTCACACTTCTAGCTGAATTAATAAAGCAAAGAGCACTTATTTGAAAAATATAAAAAAGAAAATTGACCAACATCAATCAATAGTAGAACTCCTTCCTTCCCAAGTTACTTATCTACTTTTTGGGAAGTTTCCCCAATGACTCGAATTTCAAAACCTAACACTAGTTTACATAGTTCTTACTCTAAATGAGAAACACCGTTTCAACTATTTCAGTTTCACATTTGAGTACACTTTCATATCAATCATTAATGTGATGTTCCATTTTAAAAAATATCAACTAATCTCTGCAATAGTGAATTAAGGCGTTTTAGTTTGTGAGGCAGTATAACAAAGCAAAAACTCATGTGATAAGTAAGCATGACATGCATGTAATTAGGCTTTTGGAAAAACAATTCCCGGAACATTTTGACAACTAACAATGGAAAACAAAAGCAAATAAACCTTTATGGATCAAGAATGAAGCAGAGGTTGATAGCGTGATTTACCTCAAATAGGTACAGAGAGAGCAATCTATATACCTGGTCGGGTCCACACACGCTGTTGATAGCTTATATTGGCCCATGTATTTTAAGGCATGCAAATAGTTCACCAAAGAAGCATGGCATACAACTAGAATTAAATCTTTGACGACCTTTAAAAATGTTCAATCATTGGCATGAAGGAGATGGAAAATGGACAATAAGTTAAGCACAATGCTTTTCTTGAATTACTATAGAACCAGTAAAAATAAAAAAGAAAGATTGGCCCAAAAATCTTGAAACACTTGAGAGGGGAATGTGCAGATGAATCTTGCGCACTCCTCTTTCATAGATTCTTCTCTTCAGTTAAACGCATGTTAAAGCAATCACATGCAAACATTATTTATCTGTTAATGATCTCAAATGATCGTAGACGCCTCTAGATAATCATTCAGTTCTCTGAATCAGGGAAACTTTCAATAGTCAATAAGGTACAACATAGGTTTTTATCCAATATAGTGCCAAAGGGGACATTCTTTTAAGTGGTTCTTTGATTTTTACATATTGAAGGAGTGAAAGAAGGAACAGATGATCACCTTCTTTCAGTGCATCACAAACTTCTTCAGTTGTCACGTTTAAGGCTTTAAGAAGAATAGATAAATTCTGTGCTTTCTTCTGATCAATAATTTGAATATATAGATTTGAAGCACCTTGGGAGGATTCTTTCTTTGACCCATTCTTCTTTTTATCAGCAGAGGCATATCCAAATAGACTCTCTATTTGCTCTTCATCGAACCTGTTAAAGGATATTCACTGTCTATTATTAAAACAATTCAAAGCTGCATTCAAGCAAGAAAAGAATAGACTTACTGGAAAGATCCTGCCTTGACTTGATCCCAAACCATTGATTGGTCAGTGTTGGCTTGAACCTTATCCCAGAAGAAAGGCTTAAGCTTAGTTTTGGAAGCATCGGTATCTTCTGCGCCAGTTGCGGATGCATTTGGAACAGCAGGAGAACGTCGAGGTGGCTTCAAGCCCGTCGAAGGTGGCCGAGGTGGACCACTGCCTGGAGGTGGTGGTCGAGGACCAGGCTTTATAGGTGGTGGAGGGGGAGGTCCAGGGGCACAGGGACGTGGCCCAATAGGCTTAACTGGTGGTGGAGGTGGTGCGGGAGTTGATGGCTTTGCTGGAGGCGGAGGTGGGGGTGGGGCTGAGGCTGCCGTAGCAGGAGCTTCGGAAGTAATCATCCTACCAGGGGGAGGTTTCAACGGAGGCATTCCAGCGGGGGCCGTCCTTCCAATCTCAATCTTAGAATCATCATGGGGATTCTTATTGACTGAATGATTACTGAATGAAGCTCCTAAAGCAGAT